TGGAAAACTTACAGTTTAGCATCAAACTGCGTTCACTATCCCTAAACAGCCACATGAGGGCATTGGATAAATGAAACAATCTGCGTCAGGAAAGTTGTTAGGAATTTATCTCAACTGGTGCCATGATATCGTTCAACGGTGCATTCTCATCTAATACTCACTGCATTTCTATATTGATTTGTAGAATTCTAAAAATAATATATTTTTGGGAAGATCATTTCCGTGTCCTTATATGCCTCATTGGCCCACAGCGTCATAAGGACACAGTGAGTACACAAGAGTAGAGATCAATGGAATAGCACTTTATAGTGTTTGCTGGAACATTAAGGCCTATACTGTATATTACCTTGTATAATGGAACTGAAAAAGAATATTAATTAGGCGCCGATATATTCATAACAAATAATTCCACAAACGCAGACAAAATCATGTCCTTTTTTAAAGTGCTCTACTGAATGTCTATATTGTATCTGAGATGCAAAAATGTACGAGCTAAAGTTGAAGAGTTTGAAGAGTTTAAATTGTGCCATTAACATGATTACATCTCAAGTGCTTTAATGTTCAGATATTAGCATAAAGTAGATCCCCCAGAAGACAAGTGGCCATGAGACACGCGCATGACATCATGTACTAATGGGTCACATTCTGTAGTGTTTTCGTAGCTCAAAAGGGACATTAATTCATGTCTCAGAACAGGAAGTGGGGTTTTCCACTGCAAATAATTATAATTGTAAAGTTGGTCGCACACACTCGCTGGTGGCAATTCTGTTCTTGACAAATATTTCATACTGAAATTATAGAAAAAAACATGCTCATATAAAGACTATATGTGCCAGGTGTGAGCGTACAACTAGGAGCTAGAGTACTTGAGGAAGCTGTGTAATAAGGATGGATAGAATGCTACATGGAGGCCTGCAGAGCATTCCATGCTCTCCTTGGACACAACACAATGTAGCTTTGGAGTTGACATTCAGCCACTTCATCCTGTTCACTGCCTAACATAAACCTACAGACGAGAAGTCCGGATAAAATCGCCAACAGCTCGCCTCTTGTCAGACGCTGGAACATGCAGCACCAACCGGCCAGGAAGGCATTAAGAGCGACACCTCATCTCTCTGGACTGGTGACATCACTGTTCACAAATACGGCCTCCATAATTAGAGAGGATCAAAATCTCCCTGAGCTGGTGGCATGCAGCAAACACTATTTTAGTGACATTTAATTAATCCTTGCCCACCGAGCCAATTTCACCGGCTATCTGTTTACAGGCAACAACTCTCGCTGTGAAGGCATCCGCATACTATTCATATTTTAGTGGTTGTGCTGAGTGTTTGTGTGTGAGTCACTTTTTATTTCCAATAATAAAGCTTGACATCTTTGTTTAAAATATAAACATGCATACATTTATAATATAAACACATATTTTCTATATACGGTATGTTTTGCAACTGTTTTCGCATCAGAAGGATGTTATTGAGGATGTTTGTTGTCACACATATAGTGCTGTGTATAATGACATATGGAGGAGTAGATAAGATGTCCTGCAGCCTCCTGATCTTACCTCCCGGCTCTGCCTTCTGGTTTGATGTGCATAGAACAAGTGTCCTACGGCACATCAAAGCACACGTTTGATTAATAAGGTGTCGATGTAACCTTTCCACCTCTTTGAGAAAGGATGACTAAAAGGCTGCATATGCCGACAGCTTTGTGAAGCCTTAATGCTGAGCCAGGAAACTGAAATTGATGGGTAAAAAGTGGGAAGACTTCCTCTCAGAACAGGTTGTGCTTTTGGTAATAATTCGGTTTCTTTTCTGGATTCAGATTCTTACCACTAGTGTGTGTGTGTGTGTGTGTGTGTGTGTGCGCGTAGGATGGTCGAACGAACATCTAAATCCGCTCTCAACTGCTTACAGGAAGCACTTTTTCATTCAGTTGTGTCCGTACCATACAAACTGCTTCATTTTGATCTCACTCTTTAAATCCTCTGTGCAGTGGACATATTTAGGGACTTCTGAGACTCTAAACCTGACTCATAAAAAGTACTTTCATATACTGCTGTTTTTTTTAGCAGGAGATGCATTTTGAAAGAAACATACACTGTGCAAGTTAGCATTTTAACTATTGGACATGTGGACATTTAGCATAAGAAAATCCTCAATATTTGTGATCATAGTTTGGTCTATTTAACATATTTCTCAAAACATCAAAGTTTACTGATTTCTGCAGCAGCCATGGTTCCAGAGTAAGAATATGAATGATGAATAGATTTTTTGAAGAACTCATCTAGAAATACCAGGGAAAACACCCTTTGCTGGAAGGAAGCAATAACTTCAGAATAAGAAATATGCTGACAGTGGAGCATGGAAGTTGACAAAAGACAAACAATTGTTCACAGATCCTGCCAAGGAAAACCGTTTTGATGACGATGTATTTCACCTCAACAGAAAGAAGTTGATTCTTAAGTAAACCACCTCAAGGTAGATATTTGTCACAGCGGCAGTAATCCCTTTCCTCCGGGCAGCCAACATTGTAAACGTAACATTTTTCCCCCAAAAAACTGTTTGAGTAATTTTCTACCAGATCTAGTTCCAGATTTTGCATACCAGCGTGTTTAGAAGTGATTACACCCCCAGGGAGCGATTAAACATCACGGTAGTAAATAGACGTGTTATTTTCCAGGACAATGGAAGGAGAACAATGGAGCAGGAGGAAGCAGGCTGCATGTAAAGGAGGCAGAGACCCTCGTTTCATCTGATCAGATTGCTGAAAGAACTTCCTGTATCGAAGACGTGATCATGTCTCATCCACTAATAACCAAGAAAACAGCTTGCAAGGTCGCCATTGATCATCATAGACCTAATTCATCCCAAAAGGGTCAAAGAAAGTCCAGGGTGTCAAGTGGAGGGAAGCCAGCTGTGGAGACAATTGTCCCGATACACAGAAAACAGGACTTATTTCTTGTGAGGGTAGACTTGGTGGAAACGGTTTACTCACTGAGAAAGGAAGCGTGGATCTTGTTAGCATTGGTCCCACACACAATGTGCAATCAGAATGTTTTTCTAGTCTAAAGAACACACAGGAGAGCGTGCCATTAAGCAATCTTTCATCCCACTCTGTGGGATAGAGGTACTTTCTTGTTATTCTTCAGCTAAACCAATTGGGAGGTGGTGGGGTTTGCAAGTAAGAAGCTTGAAGTGGTGTTTCATTCCTGAGACTATAGAGTGAAGGTGATGGAAGTGATACTTCAGAGGTGTGCGATTGGGAACAAAGACCTCCATGTGCATGAGCAGCTTACATCTTCTGCTTCTTTGTTCCATCTCTCACTTCCCATCATCATTGGATTTTTTTCTTTTTTTTCCACTTCTCCCTCGTCCTAAAGAAAGCAATGTTGAAGCTGTTGTCCATTCCAGAAACATATTAAACACAAGGATTGTGTCTGTTTTAATGTGCAGAAAATTCTGTTTTGAACTGGTACAAAGAGCTTCTTTTATGGCTAAGCTACTTGTTTTATGAGCCTTTTTACAATTCGATTGGTCTGTTTTCCGGCTCCCTATCTTGGAGCCAAACTCTCTACAAGAACTCAATCAATGCCTCCCGAAGTATTTGCTCAGTCTAGACTCTGACTGATGATCATAGCCCAGCTCATGTGAGGAAGGCCAGCCTTTCAGAGGCATGCTACGTAATGATTGGCATGTCTAATAAGAAGCAGAGTGCTAGACTGGGAATTTGAGATACGTCCAACAGAGCCACAGCGATACTCCCTCCCTGCCGCCTTAAGTGGACATCGTAGCTGGAATAATCCCAGGATTGCCTGATTGCTTGTTTTATTTTGCTTTTTGTATTGCTTACAATGAGCAGCTTCATCCTTTATGGTAGGTCTTACCTTTCTCTACCCCGAAGGGCTCATATCCTGCCAGACTCCCCTCCTCCCCATACGTCCTGTGATATGACAACCAGACCCTCATGTTATGAGGTCAGATGGTCAGAGATAAACCGAACCATAGAGGATGAAGGGGGGGGGTTTAGTCACTATAAAAGAAACTGGTTGATATTACCAGTCCTTCAGAACAATGTGCATTACCAGAATACTGTGACATGCTGGTGTAGTTACTCATAATATTAAAAATGTTTGTTAATTATCCATTGATGAACTCAAGACTTGCTGGATAAAGTAACACTACATTATTTCATTACACAAATATGATTTCATGAGGTGTAACGCATCTTTTCAGCAAGAAACAGAATTATGTGATAACTAAATTAGACTATTGTAACATAATCAGATAAAATCATGTCACACTCCTAATGTAGTCTAAGAGGCGTTGGATGACCCAAACTACATCAAATATCTTCTCACTAAAGTGGTGTGAAGCCATGCAGATTGGGTTTTATTTGCCATTGTTTTGAGATATCTGTCTTTCTTTGTTTTAAAGTCACAATACATTTCAATTCAATAGCTTTACAAGCTCTTACATTATCTGTTTGTTTATTCTAAGTTCTGCGGGGGTGGACAGCTTGGAAGGTTATTAGTGCTTAGATTGGCTACAGATATTCAAAATTGCTCAATTTTCAGCAAAAAATACCACCAGAAATTTCTCTGGTTGTGTAGCAACTGAATGAAGCCAAAACAAAGCGAGTGAACTGCTGTTTTTGAGAACCAGAGACGAAGCCATTGTGGTATTCAGTGCATCAATATGTATATTTCAACACAGAGGATATTTAAATTATTTTCATTAGTCATTACAGACAAATATAATTCATGTTGAACAGATTTACATTACATAGCATTTACATTATTCCTATTTACAGATATTTAAGTGCCTTTTATGTACAAATATACTTTACAGTCAGATATAGAAATGTCTTGATACATCATAACATGCATGTTCTCGAGGTAGTCTGACGAGCATGTTGATGATGCAGAAGATTGTTTTTGTCTGGAGTGCAGATGAAGGCAAAAAACAGACCCCCCCCCCCCCCCCCCACATGGTGCAGGATGTCAGAAAAAAAAGAATAAGGAAGTGGAAGTGTGTTGACGTGGATTGTGTGTGGAATGTGTGAGCTTCTCCTCACATTTTGTGAAAGCCGTGGGTTTGGTAGATAGACTCCTCCAACTGTGGCCAATCTGACTTCATCCAAACACCCACCATCCCCTTCCCCGTGTGTGTATGTGTGTGTCCTGCTTTTTTTAAGGGGATCCCATTTGCCTCTGCTGAACAGAAATAATTGCGATTCTTTTGGGACAAACACAAAAGACTCCCAGCTGCAACATGAAATAATTAGAAAAATGTGGATGCATGCAACAAGCTGAGTAATAGATGTAACCTAAACCCTACACACATTCTTTTTCTTTGTGATAGGTCAAATGAAGGTTTTGCTTTTTTTATTAAGCCACTAAAATGTAGTTCTGAGAAAAACGACACAAAGGATGAGCTGACTGCCTCGGTTACTTGGAGACGTGCGGTCTGGAAGAGTCGTTTTCACCACAACACACCTCCAGGCTGCTATGTACGTTTTTATCTTTGGGAACACTCTTACCGGAAAGGCTGTTTGACGGCACAGCAGAGAAACTTAACCACCAGTAAAAGCATCAGTATTCCTGGAAAAGCGTTCTCTCAAAAACAAATCATGTTGTGAGTCTGGACTGTATTAGTGCTGTTGAATTTAACATAATAATGTCAAGAAATAACTGTCAGCACCTATGCTTTCATAAACAGTGGTGATATACGTAATTAATGAATCTGAAGCAAAGATTTGCAATTTCATTTCTTGCCGAGAATGCCACTCTCAGACAGGTTTTCATTCCCCACCCCAGTAGACAGAGTTGCCTAACTGCGTCTTCACTCCGCCTGAATGGAGGACTTAGGAGAATTGTCCACGTCCCTCCAGTTGCTAGAACTGCCTGTAGGGCTCCGACTGGTCATCTTGGTCAGCAATGTTGTTCTGCGGAGACTGCTGTCTGAGTCCTCCTTCTTGAAGTCGGTGCTCATTTTGTAGCAGCAGGAGAAGCAGTGCACAAAATCCTGGAGGAGGTGACCGCTGAAGATCATGTATATCCACGGGTTACAGCAGCTGTTAAGACTGGCAAGGAGTGCAGACAGAGTCACTGCTGTGTTCTCAGAATCTAGAGAACAGAGAGGAAGGAGGAAAGGGGATGATTAATCTGCAGAACATCTGGTGCAGAAAGGCAAAACTTAATTTTTTTTCTTTAAAGGAGAGAAAATCCACAAAATGTTCAAAAACTTAGTGTCTGATGAGAATTGAATTAATTTGAAGACTTTCTGGATTAAGTTTGATTTTTTTAATATAGTGAAGTTATCTGTCAAAAGAACCAAGCAAGAGTAATTATCACCCAATTACAGTAGTTTGGTTTAAAGATAACAATATGTATCTGACAGAATATAATTCATTGTATGAGGTGAAGGGTAGTGACTGAAATTCGGAAAACAAAGAAAAAACTTGAGGTATATCAGGGAACTTTCTTCTTAAGAAAAGCTTCTCCCCATAATTAACTTTTAAAAGGAGCGTTTCTGCAGTAGGCTACAGTTTTAATTCTGAAGTCTCTCAGTGATGTATTTGGTTATTTCATGTAATTGAAGAGGCTTGTGAACAATAGATCCGTTTAAACATTCTTCTTTCTGTGTTTATTCATTCTTACGCATTGTTTTAGTTTTGCATTACAAATAAATCTATGTGTAAAGGCTGTGCGCACGTGTTTGCGTAAGGTGAATGTTTTTTTCTTCTTTATTTGGTGGCCGGTGACAAAGGGCTTTCTCTTGGCAACTGTATTTTGGCAGTATATCACATCATTCCTGAAGATTCCGTAAGAGTTTTAAACACTTGTTTTATTTCTTTGGCACTCACCAGCATACTGGAAGTTTTCATCCCACACAGACCACATCTGCACTGTGAAAAACGGCGCCCAGCAAATGATGTATGCCAAAACTATCACCAAGGTCATTTTAACGGTCCTCAGTTTGGCTCTTGATATGGTTGTAATGCTGCTGACGGAATTCTTCCCAATTAACCCGTTCTGGTTCGCAGCGCCAGCCGTGGGGTTTCTTTTCTTGTACTTGATATTTTTCCATATGCTGTGGCAGATGAACCCGTAGCACATCATGAGAATTACCACGGGCACGAGGAAGATGCCCACAGTTATCCAGGTGATGTATGCCTTGGCGCCCCACGGCTCGATGAAGTGCGCCCAGCAGTCGGAAACGTTCGAGCCGTTCTTGATCTCGCTCAGGGAGAAGATAAAGAACTGCGGAGTGCTCAACAACAGGCTGCACATCCACGTGGAGATGATCATGATGTAGGAGCGCTGCGTCGGCTGCTGGAGGGTCTTCAGTGGGTGGCAGATGGCAATGTAGCGGTCCAGGGTCATCATCACCATCATGTAGGTGGATGCAAACATCCCCATCACCTGGAGGTGCTTGACTATCCTGCAGAGAAAGTCCGGGCCGTAGAAGCGGAAGGTGATCTTCCAGCAGAGCTGCGGCAGCACCTGGAAGAAGGCGACCACCAGGTCAGCCAGGCTGAGGTGTTTGATGAAAAGGTGCATCCGCGACATCTTCTTCTTGCTGTTGTACATTGCCAGCAGGACGCTCACGTTCCCGATCACGGCAACCACGAAGGTGATGGTCAGGACCAGTATCTCGATTTGAGCCACTTCCTCGTTTCGCGCAAACGGATCGGATCCGTTTGCGTGGACGGTGTTGTTTCCAGGCGCCTCCATCGTTTGCTCATTCGAGGGACAGAAAACCAGAGACTGGTTCCCTTCGCTCAGGAGCAACGCGTAGTCAGGAGTGTGCATGGCACTGCCCCTCTGTGCGCCCTAGCAGATTCAGTGCCAGAGGGGCTGCGAGGTGCCTCTGCTATCCGTATATGGCGCTACCTGAAGCTCAGTGAGGAACCCGTGGATTTCTGACCGTTGCCGGGGCTTTTTAAACTCTAATCGAATTTCAGACAGCGTGTGCGTAAAGAGGATACACTGCAAAAAATAAAACAGCTTAAAAAGTTTCCACCTTTGGTGTAATGCTAAGTCCTAGAACACGTTTTCCAGGTGCGCCCTGGGTAATGGCAAGACTAAGAAACATTTTAAATTAGGTAATATAATCTGACTTTCATGTTTCCAATGCAAATGTATTACTTTGAAGACGCATTATCACACAATTGCACTGAAATTGACACTAGAACCCCAAATCAAATAGGTGAAGACAATAATAAATATCTAGTAATACAACTAAAAATATAGTAATAATAATACAAGTAATAAGTACTTTTTTTTTCTTCTTGCTTGGGGACATTTTTAAAGTTCATTATGATGGCTAAGTATTTTTTGCAGTGCACAGCCAAGCCCCAATAAAACCTCCATATCACCTCAGGTCCTCCCACTCACAGCGTGGACCATGTGTTTAGAAAGTAGTTGGTTTGCATTAAAGTCAGCAAATATTAACACATTACTAATGCAGCTCTATAATTGTGATGCTGCATTTACTGCAATAGGAATGCATTGACCAACACACTGGAAGGTTGTTTGCGGTTCTCCCTTTAAAAAGTTGAGTTTCCTTTATGGTAATTTTTGTCTCATGGATATCATCAAAATGTATCTCTGGGCTAGATCGCATGGGAAGAAAGTGAGAAAATGTTTGCATTTGGATTAATTGACTCTTTATTATATCTCCATGGAACCCATAAATATCCCCATCTGTTGTAAAACACACATTAAATGCTTGTCTTTTATCATATTTTATTGCAGCTCTTTTCCCCAAATATTTCAAAAGTTCTCTAAAAGTCCTTTGTTATATGTGCGGGAGAGGTTTCAAGTTTTCACACACAATTGTGTAAATTGCATTGGACTACGATTGGCTTCAATGTCCCAAAATCATGCTCATGTACACATCTTAAAGGCTAAATATGCTAATTCATACTTGTATTTTAAGTTTCAACTAGAACATATTTTCATGCTTTAATGCTCAAAAAACACATACATTTTCTCCTACCGTCTGTCTGAATATGCCTGTATTCACCCCGAGTCTGAAATGCGCCTGTCTCTTTTAGCCCCCCTCTTGAAAAAGCCCAATCTGCTGGGATTGTTTTGTGAGAAAAATATGCTGCACCTTTTGCAAAAGTTTTTCTTAAGCCGCGGGTGGAGATACTCAGATGGGGGTCGGCATATTCTGAGCCCGTTTGTGACATAGGAAGAGGAGCCAAATATGAATGGTTTGTTGAATCACATGTCTGTTCTAGGCAGCCCCAAAAAACCGACTGGTTTGTCTTATTTCACAGTTTGTGGGTTGGTAGGAAGTCCAGATACCCAAATGTATGTTCACAAGCACTGAAACAGAGATTTTTTTTTCATGATATATTCCCTTTCAACTCGGATTAAAGATGAGAAAAACTTTCCTCCTTCAGCCTTAAGTGTCAAACTCTGCACATGCATACATCATTCTGCACAATGGATGTCAAACATCCAAGTGAATTTCTCTCTTCCCTTGTTAGAGCATCCTTCCATTCTGGTTGCACACCCGTCTACCAGTTCTTTGCTTCAGCATCTTTAGCGCCGCCTCAGTTTGGCCGTACGTAAGTGACCTATAACAATGTCAATTCCTTATTACAGTTTCCATTACGAAAGCACATGATTGCCAACTGGCTGTGGGTATCCGTCAGCTATTAAACTCATCTGATCCATGTGCTGATAGTGAGGATCGTTATCTTTATTGCGTTCACATTGAAGTCACTGTCCATATTGCCTCTCTTTCATTTCCGATGGCCCTTGTAGTGAGCAGTGCAAACTGGGGCCCCTTTACTAAAAATATCCTACAGGCCGGTTGAACTGGCTTAGTGGAATAATTACATTTTCTCAATTATCGCAGTCTCCGTTAATCTTCCCATCAGAACCACAGCCAGGGACGTTTCTGATGCCTTGGGCTTCTGTTGACCAGCCTTCTCCCATGGATGCCCTGTTATGTGTTTGATTTTTAACCCCCCTCCTTCATCCACTCTGGAACGGTCCTGTTTAGTCCCGGGGGTTGAAGGACAGCAGAACGGATGTCTTCCTTCATGCTGGACTGAACCACGTTTATCCTCGTCTCCTGTTTTTGAAGATGTTCACTGGAGACGTCCTGTGCTTTTATTAAAGCGCCAGGCTGAGCTGGTCTCATCAGTTTCAGGACATGAAGACTCTGTTCATCCTCCTCAACTGCGGACGTTGTGTCTGGAGCCCGGGAATCATGGGAATGCATGTTGTGTCTCCAGTAGCCGGAGCAGTCAGTCTGAATCATTTCCGTGATGTTTCCCCTTTTACTCACGGGCTTAAAGTTCTGTTCGAGATCCTCAGCTTTTTTTTTATCCTTGGGGATAAAGAATCGTGTGAAGGAGTTTCTTCTTTCATTATGTCTTTTTCTTTGTGCATGACTTGTTATTAGAGAGCTTCATGAATATCAAAACATCTTCGTTACACAAGTTAATTAAATATGTAGCTGAATAAAGTCCAATTCTACCCTGTCAACTCCTCCTCAGATCCCTTTAAGTTTTTATTTACTGTGTCGACACAAAGATAGACTCAGTATTTCTGTTCATTATCATATCAGTCAATCTCCGTCAGTAATGATCAATCTGTGCTCTGCTACAAAAGTAAGTTGCTAAAAGTTTAACTTTACGTCCCACGGCTTCTATACATTGTTAATGCCATATGTAATCTCATGCATGAGAAGAATGTCTGCTCTTAACAAACTGCATCGCATGCATGCTTCCCTTGTTCAGTCTGGCTTATATCATCAACACCTCATGCATTATAATATAAGAGACAGAGGGTCTGTTCATCCTGCTCCCTATATTAATAACATACTGTGCTTCTGAGGAGCACCTGAAAGAAAAGTTGTAAAGCTCAACAGCCGACACCTCCTGACTCGAAGAGGTCTATCTGTCTTAGTACTAATAAAAGCACAAATCAGTTTGTCCCTTGGGCGACTGCAGTCCTACAGAGGTCACGTCAAACAAAACATTTAATTATCTGTTTACTTTATGGATGAAGTTATGACAATTACCAGGACCTCCGCAGAGCCTACCTATAATACATTGGTTATGTAAGTTCATATGTAGATTTGAATGTTCTCCTTTGGCCTTCGGGCTGATGATAAATAAGGGCTTCAGTAAACACGACATGCGGGTTTATAATCGTGAAAATCCGCACCAAGTACACAGAGGTTATGCAACCTGAACCTTCATAGATGATATACTGAAAACTTCAGTGCAACTGCTTTAGTTTGAAGCCACTTTCCTTGCCTCTTGTGTTTTGAATTTGAAAGACCACAGTGGTCTACAAATATATATATTTAAACCAAACGTAGTGGGAGAGTATTGGTTTCTTTTGTGAAGATGTATTTAAACTACATCAGAGGGTGCTATTGTACAGAATAAGTTATAGGCTTTTCAAACACAATAATGGCAAACTCAACTTTGTCTACTTCATGCAATTTTTCATCATATTCTGAAGGAAATCTCTTATAGAAACATATTGCTTTGTAGTGTGTGTAATTTTGTCTTTGTGCCTGAAGCTGCTTGCCCGTTTCCGCTTGGTGGGGCACGGCAGAATTACTGCACTTGTAGCTCTGGACCATAGCGCATGTGTGTGCGAGTGTTAACCTGAACTTTCAGATCGTGAGTGGGGCCTGATGGCCATTGGTTGATTTTAGTGGTGCAAGGGTGTACACGTCTTGCTGGCTAGCTAAAGAGGGACTGATATTGTACTTGACTTTACAACAGTAGTGATAACTCGGATTAACTACAGTACAATTTAGCCCTTTTACCTCTGGAGCAAAAACTGGAAATAAGAGGTTTGGCACTACATCGACCGGATGACTTAATCATATCTCAAAAATGAAGAGATAAAAAAAAGATAATTCAACCACAAGTGGTTCAAAAGGAAAACTTGGTTAACTGCTGGCATATAGTATAATAAAAAGCCCATTAATGAGTGATGGAGGTCCGAAAAAGTGAAAAGGAGGAGCGGAAAAGGTCAGAGAAAAGAAAAAACGGCTGAAGCTGATGCTGCAAAATGTTTTGAGATAACACATTTATTATTCAGAAATAGCGCTGTTCCCGACGATGATGCCAATGCCTCGCAAAATCCTGCCAGCTGCAGCAGTGAAGAACCGTCCCCCGGCACTAAATGAAGAGGTGAACGGAGCTAGCCAGTTAGCCACCAATGCTGTATGACTCACGTGGCCGAAACGTGTCTCTTATTTGTAGTTTAGAACGGTGAGTTTTTTTTAATGTGACGTTGGCTTTAATTCTGTGTTTCCGTGCTGTAAATCCTGTGTTGTTGTGAATTTATTTGTAGTAACTGTGCTGTTGGCTTCGAGTGTTTTTATTTTTCGGGATGGGGTCGGTCCTGCCAAGAATTGCCGTGGTCCAATCTTGCTCCATTCAGACCCTGGTTTCTGCTGTGTATGAGGCATCATACTACCACACTTCAAAGCAACAGGAGGTAAAAAGCATGTTGACACTTCTGTCTACAAACCTTTGGTCTAGTTAAGGCCCCTGAGATACACTTTCGGGGTTTGCCCTTTTCTGTTTCAACATGCCGCCATGCCCAAAGCCAATCCTGTCTCCTACAAATGACTTTTAGGCATTACTAATTTGCAACAGCATATGTTTGCTGATTTTGTTGATTATGATTCTTATCAACAAAATTAAAACTTGTTAATGAATGACTCAGAGAAGTTAAAAGATAAAGAGTTTGTAGATTAAATACACTGTCAGCAAACATTTAGCTGATATGCTTTTGCGACTTGTCAAAATCTTGCTTTGATATTGAAACATCAACAGTGATTTGAAGCTAGAGACACAATATGTTTACTCGATCAACCCTTGGGGTCAATTTAATTCAATGTTCAGCATCTCTAAATAAATGAAATGAAATCTTTTTTAAAATGTTTTTATTGTATTTAACGTCTTTTTCTAA